CTTATTTACCCATGCAATGTTTCGTCTTACCTTTGGGCAGGCCATATTAAAATAGTAGTTAAAAATGCTATAAAAGGAGTTCCATTTGTTCTCTATATCATTTTCACTAAACACCTCAGTCAAAGTTTCAGTTTGTATAAAAGAACAAAAACAGGTTATATTGTCATCAGATAAATCCCTAACCTCTTTATAACAACTTATTTGTAGTGGTGCGGTCATATTAATAGTTATACTTTGTGCATAATGATCTGAAAGTAGGCTATAACAGTATAATAGCAATTAGCAGGTATATTAGTAATGATTTGATCTATAATTGTTGCCGTACTCTCTGTTACTCGAGTAGGAATATTTATTGTTATAGTCATGTTATAAGCATTAATGATATCTAATAATTGCTTTTGACCACATCCATTTTCCTGGGTATTTATATTTGAGTCTCCAACAAGAATGATATATTGATCTTTCTGAACAAGCTGCTCCAGTATATCTATTAGTAAGTTAAAAAATTCATACATTCCACCACTTGGTGATCTATATAATGCTATAATTATAAGTTTTATCTTGTCACATGTTATTTCTATACCAGTAATCTCAAGAGTTTTTTCTATACTCTTTCCTGTAACCCAATTCAAGGGTTTACTTTGCACCATGTTACTGGTACTGTAACCTTTATATTTTTTCCTACAAAAATATGAGACTGGAGTATAACCTTCTAACATACATTGAGGGATTTCATCCTCTTTGAGACCATGTTCAGAAATAGCTAATATATCAGGGGTAGTACTTTGGAGAAATTCAGTAAATAGTTCAGTTTTATTACTAAGATATTGAGCATTTTGATGTATTATTTTCCAATTATGCATTGGCTTGACTTCCCCAATTGGGAATGACTGGAGCCCAAGGGATCCAGTCTTCATTGTTAGTTTCCCTGATTTAGATCACCTAGAACTATTACATTTAGTTGGTTCTTCTTATTATTACCTATTATTTTACTTACTTCTTGAGTAGTATATTCTTTACCTAGTCGGTTTAGGTGCTGCTCATGCCTTGTGTGTAGGCTCTGCTTATATTGCTTATATCCAATACTTTAACGTTTCTGAATCTTTTACACGCTTGTTTATGTCCATATTTGCTTTCCTTATTTCCTTATTTACTATTGATTCTTTTATTAAATCATGCCTAATCGGTATATTGAGAACAACAACAGTTGTACAAGTCAGTGTGGAAAGTGTTCTTTTTACAACATTGATACAAGTCTTTCTTTCATTTCTAGCAATATCATAGGCACCCCCCGTAATTATTACATGGTTCTGTGAGCCATGTACTGCACAACCACTTACACAGTTTTTCAAAACATTATTTGCATTAGCACCCGGCCTAACCTCACTAAACACCGAAACATCATCATTAGATTTGTTCAGTGATGTAGGTATGCCACGGCCATAGCTATCACAAAAAACATCAGTTTATTCTTATTTTTCACGTTCTTTTTTTTGACAACTGTGCTTTTGCACAGTCTCATCAGCAACATCATTTAGGGGGCAGAATCTGTTAGTTGTTGAAACTGAAAACTGTGGAGTCACCTGTTTTCTTCTCTATTTACGTTTAGCTGCATGGCTCCACCCATTTTTGTTTTCATAATGTACTGGAAGATGTACTTCTTGCACTCTTTCACTCTGTAAGACAGATATCATTTCTTGCAATGACGAATGTTTCGTCTAACAACTTACGGACAACTTCGCAGTCAACATACTGCATGGTCATAATCTCATTTTCTGGAGGATTTCGTAGTGAGCATGAAACACAAAGCCATTGATTATCCTCACTACTCCTGAATAGTGTTCGCTGCTCGGCAACAGATATCAGGTATTGTTGTCAGATGTTTCTGCCTACACATTGCCTAGCAATAGCCGCTGCTCGGAGTCGCCTGTTGCATGACATCACAGCCTCATGGGAGGGGTGTTCACCGAGCGTTGCGTAATGATAGGAGTGGGGGTACATACGTCACTCACGAGAATGCAGAGTTCACGTGACCCCTACTTCCTGTAGTGCCATCCACGTCACAATATTTTAGTGTCTTTTTAAGAAAGGATTGACTTTGTTGCATTACAGGTGGAATACATTATAATTTAAAATAATTTATTTAACCAGAAAGAAATTCAGATTAAAAAATTCTTAGCTGTGAAAGATCTTTGACAGACCACTGCAACCCCATAAGCTATTCGTGGGTCTGAGAAATTGTCCTTAATTTATCGCAGCACATTCTCACAGAGTCAGAAGAATCAGTGCTCAAGAGAGAGCTTAATTTTGCAGCAACAGATAATGTCTAATTTTGACATGGTATGTGCGGCTGAATGTGTGAAGTCCAGAGTCCCCCTGCCTTGGGTATGAGTTCTGTTGGAGGATTCAATGTGTGTTGGAAAAATCAAAACTATTGACGTCAAACATAACTAGGAAGAAATCTATGACAATGAAATCTCTTAAAGATAACAAGGAAAGAAGAATTCTGCAGCCAGACATAGGAAACTGCACAGTAGTGTTGAATGAGTCCACATACAATGAAAAGGTGTCCACTCTGCTAGAATCAGAGGTTTAAGAAATTCTACATAAGGATGCCATATCTCAAATTGAAAAGAAGATATGGTAGCTTCTTACCAGGCACAAAACTGTTCATCCTGCTACCTTGAAATGTGAACTGAGACTTTACGATAGTAAACCACTTCTCCTTGATGGACCTCCAAAGGTACACAAACCTGACATTCCACTTAGACCAGTATTTAACCCTGTTGGCTCTTCCAATTATACCATAGGAAATTTTCTCCATAAGTTCCTGAGCCCTCTTGTTGGCAATACAGACTCTTCCTTGAAGTACTCAGAATAATTCATAAAATTAATACAGGCGATTAACCTTCAAAACGAAGACTGCCTTGTAAGTTTTGATGTTGTCAGTCTGTTCACCATTGTGCCATTGGAAGAAGTCTTACAAGTCATAAGAAATAGACTCAGTATGAATCTTTTCTCCCAGAATTTTTACTTTTGTACATTGAAGAGACAAGGATTATTGGACATCTGTTCAGTGACTGCATACATACAGTTTGAGGATAGATTATAATAGCAAAATGAAAGCATGCCAGTGGCAAATTCACGACCTTCAGTGGTCAATAATATAGTTATGAAATACTGAGGAAGTGGCACTGGATACAGCAGACCACAAACCCACTAAATGGCTCAGAAGCGTCCACGACACATTCATACATTGGCTACATGGACCAGCAAGATTGCAGAAATTTCATCATCACTTCTTCAGCAACCTTAGACCTATCATCAGATTCACAATGGAACTTGAAGCTAATGATACTCTTCTGTTCTTGGATGTCTTGATCATGAAGAGGGGTCCTGAATTTGCCATGAATGTGTTCTGGAAACCTACTCATATAGGTACTTCAAGTCCAATGACCCACTTGACCTGAAAAGAGAGTAAAATTTATAGTTTGATCACTCAAGCCATATATCAGAATCAGAAGGGTTTCAGCAAGGATATTAAGAACTTAAAACATGACCTGATGTTTAATGAATACCAACAAGAATTTGTTGATTCCATGATGAAACCATTGAAAAGCAACTGTCCTTCATCAGATAGAATATACCAGGGCATAGTCATCCCATTACTCTGGAAAAGTCAGATGCATTGGATACCATTTCAGTGTCAGAACTTTTTTCAAAACTAAACATACAATCCATGAGACATCGATGAAACCTGGACCAGTTAGGGATGCCCTACAGATGAAGCAGTGTGTATACGATATCCCATGCGACTGTGACAGATGTTGTGTCAGCGAAACAAGCAGACATTTAGAAGTACGCATTAAGGAGCACCTGACCTTGAAAAATCAAAATTAGCTCAACATGCATACGAAGGAGGCTACAAAATGTTTTGGAAGGAAGTGGAGGTCTTGTTGACCGAACCAAACACCACCTATAGGAAATAACAAGAGATCTGCCCATATGTCTCTGATAGGCCATCTGATTAGTAAACCCAGCTTGGACATCTCTCCCATTATTGCAGCAGAAGTCAGAAAACTACTACTCCATCCAGTGTAGATTATATGTGAAAGTTTTATTTTTTCAAGTTGGTGCCATACAGAGAATTTGTCTCTTTAGTGATGACTTCTGATAGTACTCCAATTTAACAACAGTAATCGTGAAATAGTAGCTGCAGAATTGGCGGCTCCTCCAGAAGGGCTCAGCTCCATGAATAAGTAAATAAGTAAGTAAGTTGTGAAATAGTGCATGGATATAGATGCTAGGCCTAATGTGTGTGGAGTTTTTTTTTATGTTTTAACTGTCACAGATGGTTTGTGCTGTGCTTAATTTATATATCCTGTCTCATATTGGTGACTGTTGTCTGGAGATAGAGACTAACTCTGTTGATGGGGACCAGCAGAGTAGGCTTTCACCTGAAGACAGACAGAATCCAGTCTCCAAAACGTTGTGTTTTAAATAAAGAAACAGAACAATGGATAATGTTCAGAAATACAATAATTGTAAATGGTTTTGTGTGTGAGAAATGTAGGGTTTGTTTGGAGCACCACTTAATATGTCTGTGAGACCTGAAGTGTTTTGGCTAGTCTTCAATGTGGAAAATGTCTGTCCTAATTTCCAAAATTTTGAAGGAAAGACTTCCTCCACAAGATTCTAACTGGCTGATATGAACAGACTGGTAGGTTACAATAATTGGCAATTTTCAGTTGCAAACAGCTAGCGACTGTCAGCCCTCAGAGACTCGGCTGCAACGTCACACCTCAGGCTCATTAATTTTTTGCTGGCATGTCTTCCACAAACTTTGTTGCATTACAGATGGAATACTCTACAATTTAAAATGGTGCCCTAATGCAACAGGATGGTGAAATATAATAGAGCACTACATGTTACTGTTTGAACCTGGCTTCTGGACAAGATTCCTTGTAATATGGTCTGAAAATGATGATTTGTGCTTCTAGAGATTCAGCTGCTGCAGAAGAATCAATGGATTATATTGTGACAGGGGCTGTAGATGATTTAGTGAAGGTCTGGACATTCAAGAATGATTGTCTACAGCTAAAACACAAGCTTGAGGGTCATTCACTTGGAGTTGTCTCAGTTGCAATAAATTCAGACAGTACAAGTAAGTAGAAGTACAGTCATTTTATTATTAACATCTCTCTTCATCATTGACATTGAAAGGGCAGCTGCTCTTTATGAGAAAGCGGCCTCTGTAGTCTAGGGGTAACGTTCCCACCTCATGACTCAAGGTACGCGAGTTCAAACCTGGCGGAGGTCGTGGAATTTTTAATGGCGGAAAAATTCAGGGAACAAGTCCTCCAGGAGGGACTTTAAGCCGTGGGTCCCGTATCATAGATTTACAGCACGTAAAAGATCCTCATGTCTTAGGAGACCTCTGAGCAAAATTAGGCAAACATTTCCCACCCAAGTAGTTTCCAATGCCTCTGGTAGATGGGGGAAGCATCAGGTGCCGCGTGCCAGAAGAGGGCCGACCTCGCTGGCAAAGTGGGGCTGATAGCAAAGCACCAGTACCTGTAGGGTATGGGAACAGTAGAAATTAAAAGGGGATGCACAATGGACCAATAACTGGTCTAAGTGCATGGGGAAAACCCACCCCCTCTAACAACAACAATAATAATAGTAATAATAATAATAATATTATTTATCAGAATGCAGACTTCTGTGCTATTTGTCATGAACGATTTGCAGGTTTTTAGTTCCTTGCTTTACACTGTGTAGCATCCACGTAAGTGGTCCATACAAATGATGAGCAATGAGTGTTGAGATGAGAAGGATCTCTTCAAGGGAAATGATTGTTGAGTATTTATTTAGTCACAGGATTGTCACTGCATGTGGATACTGTCTCATTTTGTGTGAACAGAGTGAACTTAAATCTCTCACTTCATGTCAAGTTTGACATGTTAGCCATATAGACTCATGTTAGAACAGCAGTTTGCATTAATGTGATGTAAATATTTCACCTATGAATTTAAAGTTGTGATAAGTAAGAACAGAAATATGAACACATTCTGGAAGGTCACCAGATGTTGCATTATTTAATTGATGTGTGCCACATACAGGCATGCTAATTTATATGTTTATGGTTTTTCAGGTTGTGTTCTTGTAAATTGTGACAGTGGAGTCTTGTAGGCAGATAATAACACTTTGAAGGATTATGCTGCCTTTGCCTGTAGGGTTGAAGTGAGGAACTGCCTCAATTATATGGGTAGTAGTGGTAACTCAGGTCCATGGGGAGGGTAAGAAAATTAAACCCAGTCTGAACCAGGGCATATGGTAGGCAGGAAAGCGGCACTTTCAGGGTCCCAGTATTGTTTTCATAATATCACAGGAGAGAAATTGAATTGTGAGGAAAGGGTTCTGTTTCCAGGACCACAGTATTGTTTTCTGTTACAGGAAGGAAGGAGGAAGGTAGACAAAAGATGACCTTTTCAGGGTGCATGGATGTTTATCATTCATTCATCAGTAATCTATCAAGACGACAGGTCCACAGTCTCTTCCAAAACAGTTCCTCCACTTGATGCGATCTAGAGCTTTCTCCTTCAAATGAGAATATCCTCCTCTGTCCCCAAGGTCATCCAGCATCTTCTTACATCTTCTTCCTCGTCTTCTGGTCACTTCTATCTGCCCCTCTCTCTTTCCTTCAATAACTTCTTTTAGAAGGAAGTTACCGGGTAACATATGACCAATCCAATTAGCCTTCCGTTTTCTTATTTCATGTAGGATATTCCTCTGCTCACTGACTCTTTAAACACTTCTTTATTTCTCACNGATATTCCTCTGCTCACTGACTCTAATTAACACTTCTTCATTTCTCACATAATCGGTCCAACTGATCTTCTCCATCCTTCTCCAACACCACATTTCGAAACTTTCCAGATGTTTCTGATCTACTGCCCTAAGTGTCCATGTTTCAGCCCCATACAGAGCTATGCTCCAAATGTAGCATTTCACTAGTTTCTTTCTCAAATTTAAGTCCAATTTGCTGGTAAAAGGATTGTTCTTCTTGCTAAATGCAGCTTTTGCCATGGCAATCCTAGATTTAATTTGACACGTACACCTTCCATCATCTGTTAACAAGCTACCCAAATATTTGAAACATTTCACATTCTCCAGTTGTTTTTTGTCCATCTTTATTGTGACTGGGGTTGGTTGTCTCAAAATTTTCATTACTTTTGTTTTTTCCAGATTCATTTCCATGTCATAGCACCTTCCAATTTCGATTAGTCCATCACAAACTTTTTGATGTTATTCACTGGAATTATGATACAACCAAACCTGTTCACATTTCAACACTGAAAGTGGAGGCAGCATATTCCTCCAGAACGTCGATATCTGCATACAAGATGACAGTATGTCACAGCCCAGAAGACTATAGCCTGAGTCCTGTGAAAACTTTAAAATTCACTCATGTGTGGTTTATTTAATTTAGGTCATATAGTGTTGAATGACAAGGTGATTAGTGGGAGTTGAGGAAAGCCATGAAAACATCAGGATAGTTGGTCTCCAAGTTGGATTTTAACTGAGGATTTCCCAGATGTGAACCATTAGAGCATGATATTTGATGTAACTTTGTTATGTGAAATCAACTTAACTTACAAAATGATATTCAGAAAGGAATGATCTTTCAGTAATGATAATTCTAGCAAGCATTCAGTAGATTCTAAAGTGATGTATAACTTGTATAACTCTCAGAATTACTGGGTTTTTGGACTTCATCCATTGTCTGGTATTCTAGAAACTAGAAAACAGTGATTGAGGTTAGCTCTTTCTAAGGTACCCAGCTGAGTGTGTTTTTTCCCCCCTCACCTGAGGATGGAAACAGATCTAGTTTCTGAAAGATTGTGTTTTCTAGTTTCTAGAATACTGGACATTGGACAAACCCAGTAATTCTGAGTTCTTGTTTTCAGTAATTCATGATATCGTGAAGTCCTATTTATTATGTGCATGATGTATGGAGTGCCTATGCTGAGGATGTTTATGCTGTGTGAGCATGAATTCACAGCCTTCTTACAATTCTTTAGCTTTTCTTGCATTTTTGTAATACTTAGCTCAACCCAAAGATGGGTTTGTCACACAATCATTTTCCTTAATACCATTCTCCTGTTTTCAGTAGTAAAAAGGTAGAGTTGTCACTATGTTTAATTATTAAGCAGTATGCTATGAAGACATGTGGGGGAGTTGAGGTATAGCTCTGCCATTCTTGACCTCAGAACTAGGTGGAGGTGAGTGGTCAGTTTTACCCTTAAAGGGAGAGGCCTTGGTACCCATTGTATTGAAGGTTGACTAGGCCCTAGAGGTGGTCTGGATGCTGTGGATGCTCTTGCCCATGCCAGGAATTGAACCTCGGCCATCCAGCTCATAGCCAGTTGCTATAGTGACTAAGCTATCCTGGCTTCTATTTCCAGTAGTTCCTAACTTAAGCCACAGTGTGCTGAGGTCCAGTGTGTAATCAAAAGTTATAAACAAATATTTTCAGCTTGTGCTTCAAGTTCATTGGACTCAAGCTTAAGACTGTGGGATCTTGCCTCTGGGGAGAAAGTTGGTAGCATTGAAGTTGGACCAGTGGACATATGGACTGTTGCCTTCTCACCTGATGATAAGTTCATCATCTCAGGCAGTCACTCTGGAAAAATTGCTCTGTACGGAGTTGAATCAGCTAAACAAGAGCAAACCCTTGACACAAGAGGGAAATTTACTCTCAGTATTGCATATGTGAGTAGAGAACGTATGTATCAAGACATGCTTGCAGTGTGAAATCTGTACTATATCATGCTGCTCTCATAAATGATAAGATACAGCATCATTCAGAAATTTTAGCATCATATTATTCATATTATTGGTCAGCTGTTAACTGCCAGGGAAAGAGCTGCTGTTAACACTTTGCGGACCAGCAATTTAAATATTTAAATCACCCTGGAGACTGGCATTTTTATATCTACTACCCTGACTCGTGCACTGTTCACTTTAAAAATTAATGTAAAATCTCCTAATTAATTTTATGAGCTAAAATTTTTGGAGAACCCTTACCAGTGCTCCTAGAAGTGCTTGAGAGTGTGATATTTCTGGAAACATTCCCCTTTGTGAAGTGGCATTACACACTTGCAAATGTAGACAGTCATAGTCCTTTTTTTCTGAATGGCGCAAACACAGCATTACCTAGAAGGATGCTTCCCCTTGGAATGTTCACTCTTCACAATTTTCACGAGGGTATGTTTCTGCATATCACCTGAGAGTCGCCCAGGGGTGTCCACATGAGGCCTGCGTGGGGTGGGAGTTGATGGGCTAGGTTGCACTAAGTCTGTCTGACTCTGGTTCTGCCATCACCCTCTGGTCTGTAGCCCAAGCCTTTGCCACATTCATCAGAAATGCTTTGTATTTCAATTTTGAATCGGGGTTTAGATTTTTGTAAACCAAAAATGAATTGACAATGGCACAATTTATAAGCCACAAGGCAACTTTCACTTTTATTATCTGTGGCCACAATTCTTTGTTGACCCCTGTCACTTCCACTGTGTGAGCCACTAATCACTGCTACTCCACAAGGCACATCAGATAGCTCATCGGAAAACAAGTCAGAAAGATCGCTTTGCCTTCAACCACTTTTGTCGTTTAAATATTCCCCTCTACTAACTTCCTGCTTTGTACATAAACAGCTGGAAGGGGCAAAGTTTATTTTCTTTTGGAGTAGGGACCCTAGCCAGCCAGGTCAAGTTACTGAATACCTATCTTATCAGAAATTAAATCAGACAGCTCGGACAAGAAAAAATAGTACATCATACATACCAGATCAGAGAAGAAAGGGCCTATAGATAAGTAATACAAAATCTACGTTACTCAGTAACCGCAGATGAAATAAAAGAGGAACTAGGAAAACAATGTTATACTGTCCGCAGTATACAAAACTTAAGGCATTGTCAAGCAAAGGAACCACTGCCTTTGTTTTTCATAGACTTAGAACCTAAAGAAATCAGTAGGAGCATATATGAAATTAAATACTTAACGTGATATAAAAATAACAGTTTAAGCCCCAGGAAAGAAAAATGACATTGTACAGTGCACAAGATGTCAGTGCTATGGTGCTGTTAGCCCTGCTAACAGCAAATAATGATCCAGTAGTAGGATCACAACATCTTTTAAATCACTTGAACCTCCTCCAGCAATGATACAGCAAATGGAAAATCAAAATAAACCAGACAAAATCAGTGCAAGTTACGTTCACCATGAAATGTGCAACTTGCCCACAGGTTACCTTCAATAATATGCAAGTACCTGTTCAGACCAAAATAAAATACTTCGGATTATACCTCGACCAACAACTGACATAGCAGAAACACATGAAAACAAAGCATTAGAAGTTAAACTTAAAACTATGAGAAATATCCTGCCTTTTGGGTTGTAAATCCATGCTATCCATAGAAAACAAACTTCTGCTATATAAGTGCATAATAAAACCCATATGGACATATGGTATACAACTATGGGGCTGTGCAAATTCATCAAACACGAAAATAATTCAGAGACTTCAATCTAAATTCTTGCACTCAGTAACTAAAGCACCTTGTTATGTCTCCAACTTTACTATCCACAGTGATCTGCAAATGCCATTTGTCATAGAAGCTATACATAGATTGTCAACACTCTACCATTGGAGCATACTCAGACACAATANCACTACATGTTTCAGCCGCAAACGGCCATCATCAGGTGTACACACTCACGTAGCTGTTACACTGCACTTAGTTTAAAATTTAACATTTAAAAACTCAGGTCTTCCCGATTGTTCTATTTGTCGTTATTACCAACATCTGCTTCGTTGATATCTGTGTGGTTTATACATTATCTTTGTTATTTACACACGTTAATTTTGATTTCCCTGAATTAGCACTTATAAAATCTGCAGTTCTAATTTTAAAATCCTTTAAAATTTTTCTCTAAATTTTAAATTTTGTAAGTGCTAATTCAGGGAACTCAAAATTAACGTGTGTAAATAACAAAGATAATGTATAAACCAGACAGATATCAACGAAGTAGATGTTGGTAATAACGACAAATGGAACAGTCGGGAAGACCTGTGTTTTTAAATGTTAAATTTTAAACTAAGTGCAATGTAACAGCTGCGTGAGTGTATACACCTGATGATGGCCGTTTGCAGCCGAAACATATAGTGTAGAGGAGCGCAAGATCAAAGACATGTAATATATTGTTTGCACTTAGGACAGAGTTTATATCATATACCATTACAGGGCCTGTCAGAGTATCATCAGTGGATGACTTCTCTACTCCAGACACCTACTTAGAACAGATTTACTTATTACTCCATATTATCGAGAGTTGATTGTAAATATGCTATGAATTAAATAAAAAAAAAGATAGCTAGGTCATTCCAATGAATGTGTCCAAGGCTCTGTGTAACATGTTGTAACATCCTGGTGTTTTGTAGTAAGAGTTGTTAGCAAGGGGTGGTCCTCCAACTTGGAGGCTAGGTAGGCTGGACCAACCTCAAAGCTGGAGGACCATCCCTTGTTGGCTATTCATGACTGCTCATTCAGTATATTCACAGCTGTGTGTCTGGAGGTTGTCTTTATCTGCAGCCTGAAGATGCATCATGCTGTGACAGTGGAACAACTTAACTGAAGAATGGCTTGAAGCCAATTGAAAGGGCCAGAAAATTGAATTATATTTTTATTTTTCAGAGCCCAGATGGCAAATATATTGCTAGTGGAGCAATTGATGGTATTATCAACATTTTTGATGTTTCTTCTGGAAAATTGGTCCACACCCTTGAAGGTAATACACAAGTATTTTGTTCTCTTTCATCAAGCCTGTGTTGGGCACTGTTAACTGAAACTATAATATAGAATAAAGAACTGGTATATTTTCTGTATGTCTCCTACCTGATGTGGTACTGGCTGGTCTGTTCAGTGCCCTTTGAACATACACAAACACATGCACATGGACATGCATGGATACATACACACACAAACACCCAGCATAATTATTTTTGTTATACAGGTAAAGACAGTACTTCCTTTGGCTTATTTTGGACTTCACCCATCGTCTGGTATGTAAAAGACAAAAAGACCACGACATTTCGGAGACTGGATCTGTCTCCGAAATGTCGTGGTCTTTTTTTTCTTTTACATACCAGACGATGCGTGAAGTCCAAAAGAAGTACAGTATACACCATCGTCAGAATCCTTTCAAGTCTATCCAGGTAAAGACAGATGGTACTTAAATGTACTGTTCAGTAGACAACGTATGAAACGAAGAATACCCTTCTGTTACAGGTCATGCAATGCCTATCAGGTCTCTGTGTTTTTCTCCTGATTCACAGCTCCTCTTGACAGCATCAGATGACGGTCATATGAAGCTCTATGACGTGTATGTATTGTTATTTATCACTAACGAATCATAAAAGACAGATTAAAATATTACAATTTTTCTGCAACAAAGTAATGTGTTATTATGTTTATTAGTTTGATATTGGGTTGTTGGTTGAAATCCCCCCCAGTAAACTGCTTATTGTGACCTCATAATATCACTACTACTTTGTTCAAGTTTCAGGTTTATATACTGGTGGTCTCCTTTGTATTATCCTGTTGACTACAAGTATTTGTTTTCTGCACTCTGATAAAGAAGGCTACTCCATCTTTCCTGTCTGATATATCCTTTACATGACACATGAAACATAATGGGGAGCCATGAAAGACAGCTGTTCCTCCAAAGACGATTGATTATTAAAAGTAACCATATGGGTACTAAGACACTAGTTCAGTGAAGTATGTTTGAGAATACACATATTCTGAGCTACTTAGAATGGTTGCAGTAGGTAAATATCTAAAATGTTTTAGCTTGCTACCTGCTTTACACTGGTTTCTTGCTTGGCTTATTCTTTGGTTTGAAGGTGGAGGCAACATGTTCCTCTGAAACACTGGTTGACTTTCAACAGACTACATGGCATTATATTAATCAGACTTCTGGCATTGTTAAATGCATAAAATTGCAGAAGACTCTTGACCAAAGGAATTTATATGCACAGCAGAAAATTGCACTGGAGTTGCCAAAAGTAGGCACAAGACTGGACATGTAGAGTGAACAGTGTGTTGGTACATAACAGTGTTTCTTGAAGAATTACAAAAGTGGTCTTCACATTACTGAAACCCTCTTCAACAAGGACATCATAGTGAACAGAATTACCCACTTGAATTAGAGGTCAAAAAAGCTGAAACCACAGGATAGTGTTGTTAGAGGGAAACATGGTGTGCTTGTCCTCAGCTTCCAAGAAGAGCGGTTAGGAATGTGGTGTCAGCTCTGCACAGAGTGAAACTGCAAGGATGTCTAAGCAATGGGGCACATGAAAGATGAAGTGGAAGAGTGTTACTGATTATAATATAGACACAAGGTGACTGCTGACCAGTAAGACACTTAAGTGTGCTGACTTAACTCAACAGAAGGAACCAGTGAACATTTCCCAGTTAAAGAGGAGAGAGAACTCGCCTTGGGGAGATGTTGATCTAGGCTGACTGTGTTGTCGTTTCTCATAATTTACAATCCCTCTCATGTGAAAATAAAGACCCAGAAGGCTGACTGGATGAGATAATGAGAAAAATTAAACATGTTAAAATTCTGGACCCAAAAATTAATACCTCAAGATGTTCCAGAATGTGTCTCAGAAAAAACATGAAATAGATACAAGGTTTGTGTGTGCTTTTTTAGAGTCCCTCTGTACCCTGGTGCTTGCTACACTCAATATCACACACCCAGAGTCTAGTAATTGTAATATAAAATTGTCACAGTTTTTCATAGGCATATGATTTCTCCTTCACATAGTGCAAAAGTACACCTGTGCCCTGGAAACTCCAACATTTAAATTCAGCCCTGAATTTAAGAACCTGGCAGCAAATGTGTTATGCATGGGACCATATGGGGGGGGGCGACGTATCTGCACACATTCTAAACCTCAGTACTATATGGAGATGAGTGGTTAGCTTTGCGCTTTGGCCCTTCTGCCAAGGGAAGGAGCAGTGGTACCTATTGAATAGGCAGCAGAATGGACTTCAAAGCTGGTCTGGATGCACTGATGGAGAGAAATATCTCTGCCTGGAATCAAAGCCCCACTCATCCAGACCATAATCTTGTGACTGTAGTGACTAAGCTGCCCAAGCTCCTCAGATTTATAAAAAATTAATTAACTTGTTGCAGATTCATTTTATGTATTAGTTACACAGGAGCTTCAGTATTGAATATATTCAATGTGTGGACTTAAGTCTAAATAAATGCATTAGATTACTTCACTAGGACCTTTAGTTTTCTATAATGTGTTGTATGTGTACTTTATACAGATTGACATGGATTTGTTTTGTGTGACATGGATGGCTCATGCATTCATTGATTGATACAGAAATCTAGATCAGTAGTTTTGTCTGCAGTGCATTCATTTGTAGAATACTGATTGATTAATAATGATTTATGTGTTGCAGGCAGCATGCAAACGTAGCAGGTACTCTGTCAGGGCATGCTTCCTGGGTACTCAGTGTTGCCTTTTCTCCGGACAATGAGCATTTTGTTTCAAGCAGTTCTGACCAAACTGTGAGAGTATGGGAACTCAGCAGCCGACAGTGCATCCGCACATTTAATGAACACAGTGACCAGGTGACTTATTGTGTGATTTATTATTTTGTGAATTCTTTTAATTGGAAATGTAATGTAGCTTGAACAAGAATTGATAGGTGACACAAATGAGCAGAGGGGTGTAAAATATTGCCCTTTCTCGGTAAGTTCAGTGTGGATGTAGGACTTATTTGTAGTGTTTTTTTATTGAATCTTAAATTTCCTAGATGCATTATACAGTATATTGGTACTCATCCAGCATGTTGTGAGATTATACAGCGTTAGTTCTCTGAATGTCACAGAATGGTGACCACTTTTGACAGTGGTATAAATGGGACTGTCTACACACAGTATATCTACAAAAATGAAGACAAAATAAATAATAACATATCAACATTAGTTTTATTAAGTGCAGGTGTTACATTAAATGTTTTGACCTTTCATCACACATTACGAGAATATCATAAGTTCTTGAATTGTGTCCATATTTTGCATATATTGTTTTTTGTGTTTGTAAATATAAATACACCTTCATAAAATGTAACAATACACACAACTACTCTGGTTATATATGGTATTATCTGGGTTTAAATTAGGAGGGGCAGTCAGAAAGTTCCTGGAATGGTGGTGTTGCACTGCAGTGGCATGACATACGCCAACTTTTACCTGATTACCTTCGAAGCTGGACACGCGTGTGTGCACACACACACACACACACACACACACACACACACAGACACACACACACACTCTCTCTCTCTCTCTCTCTGGCTTCATCAATCCTGCCATTGTCAGAAGCACTGGTGGAAGGCATCTTTTGGAATCTCCAGACTGGAGATAGGGGCTAGCTCTATGTATTGGACCCAACTGAGTAGGTTTTCCCTGAGGATGGGGACAGCATCCAGTCTCCAAAACATGTTTTGAAAAAGAAACAGGACAGTTTTTAGAAAATAGACAAGACAATGGATATCGAAAAACATAATACTTGTAGCAATATACCATCGTCACAAACTTTTAGATCTTATATTATGATGATATTAATTTGGAAATTGAAGGAGAAACTGCGAGTGAAGAATTGAGCGACAAAATGTGGGAAAGTGAAAGTGAGAGAGAGATAAGTGTTGCGTGTTGGTGGGTGGGAAGACAAGATGATGGGTGATGATACAAGTCTGGAAATGATGCCACCGAATAAAACAATTGGGCCATCAAAAAAGACAAGAGAGTGCATGGGGTAATAAAACATATAGAGAAACAGTTTCAGAAAAACATTATGGCAGGTAGAAACTTTGTATTAGAAGAGTCAACAGTTGGGTTCAAGCACGAAATAATTTTTGAAACTTATAATAAAAAAAAATGAAGTGGAGCATCAGAATATTTGCAGTAGCTGAAAGTGACACTGGTTACATTCACAGTATAATTCCAAATTATGGAAAACTTACAGACAACATTTGTAACTTACCATACTCTGAGAAACCGTTCATTTCATAAATACTGTAGTTCTTTCCTTGATGGATAGACTATGACTCAGTACATCTGGTATTGAAGATTATCAACGTTTAACTGACAGATACACGTATTACAGCAGTATTGAGTTGGCAAAAGAATTAGACAATCATATATGTAAGTACACATTTGTATTTTAACTTTATGCCCTTATTGCACCAACTTTTTGGCAAAACAGTTCACTTAGTGGTTTGGCAGGCATTTAAAAACCCCTAGAACCTGCCTGCAGAAATTTTCCTAAACACAATGACCGGAGAGGGTTAAATGGTGTTTAATTATGTTGATGGTTTTGTAAGCTATATTTAGGTTTGTGTTTCAAAATACTTTTGTAGTGATTCTTCTTTTGGGGCCATAGTATGTGAAGGTGGTCCATTTTGTCCTTTGTGTTTCTTGTAGAAGATTGGGGGGGGGTGCATCATGTTTTAAGATTCTGATTTGTAATGTTTTATTAGTATCCATTCCTTTTTAGTATCTCTCTTATAATTATTTGTTCCTGGTCTGTATTTACTTATGAAAGAGAATGTGTGTTCATATGGTTAATTAAATAGTTTATAGCTGATTTCTTGTGTTCATAAGGGTGACAATCATTACATATGATGGAATCCATGATGGTGGGTTTTCTGTATATGCCAAATGTTAATTTGTTGTGTTCTTTGGTAATGGTCAAGTTAAGGTAATTTATTCTATTTTGAGTATCTTTTTCTATAGGGAATTTTAATTTGGGGTGTACCGTGTTAAATTCTTCAAGAATTTAATGTCTTTCTTCAAGAGTGTTTCAGCGTTTTGTGTTTGACAAGCTTTTGAGATGTTAAATGTCACACACTGTTCCTATGGTTTCCTCATGTGCAAATACCTTATCCATTTTCATGTTCCATAATGATTGAAGGAAATGCAGTATCCCCCCCCAAAAAAAACGTTCCTTCTAAAGGCATTCAGTTGACTTTATGAAAAAATCTTCCGTTGCTTACCAGTTTCTTTTTGCATACTCCTGTTGTATTTACTGCTGTCATTCTTTGTGTCCCAATAGTGAATGTAATTCTTTCTTCTTTTTAGGTATGGGGAGTAAAGTACAATCCAGATGGGAACAAGATAGTTTCTGTGGCTGAAGATCGATCGATAAACATATATGATTGCCAATTTTAATTTTCTGTTTCACACTCTGAACTGTGACACCACATTTGTTACTGTTAAGTTCTTAATGAAAGAAGGAAGAATTGATGCCAAAGCAGAATTTTTATTCATACTTTTCTTTCCTTACAGATTTCCTGTGCTTTGATATTAGTATTTGCAACAAGTACGGTTTTGCTGTCTGTTATATTAGAACTTGTTAGTTTATTCGAAAATGTGCAACATGTGTGTGTACAACAGCAGTGCTTGTGTTGAGATACAAAGGAGCTGAAATGCATCCACTCACTGATGGCACAGACTAATTACTGGCAATAGTGACATTTTGTTCAAAGAAATGAAGAATATTTTAAAATAATTTTAGGAACCCATGTTTATGAAAACAGTACTGAGTAAAGTAACAGACCTTACCTTTACTGGTGGATGGTGATGAACAGTGAGGAATTGGTGGGGAATTGGAATTTTGTTCTACTTAGGGTACAACCTCCAGCACTAGTAGATAAAGTCAGGGATGCTACCAGTAGCCATAAGTACTCAGTTAGGGAGTAAGTGTGAAGCTGTAAGACACCTGCAAATGGAAATGGTAATTTTTCTAAACATTACTTAGTGTGTATGATGTGTAAGTGAAGTAAAACAATACAAATGAGTGAAATATTTAAAAATGCTTTAATAAAATTTCCAGGAGTTCATTAGCATAAGTTAGTTGAAGTTAGCATAAAAGGTATGAGTAAAAAAGGTAAAGTTGTCCCAGTGCTTAACTAATTAAGCACTACACCATGAAGGCATATGAGGGAGTGGATGTATAGATCCACATTTTCTTGACCTCAGCACTAGCTGGAGGTGAGTGGTCAGCTTCATGTCCCGTCTGTCCTCCCCCATTCCACACATACTCATTTGCTGACTGGTGTTATTGCTGTTACTACTCTATGTTTGCTGTTAGTGAACAAACTAAAATTAACCTTGCTGTAGTTTCAAGCTAGATTTTGCAGGTGTATTTTTTAGTTGTGTAATAATGTGACATTTTAAAGTTTTTACCATTATGGTAGTGCTTGAAGGACAACATGATTCTTTCAAAGAAACCTAAGAGAATGCATATTTTTTTTGTAATGAATGGTTAGTAAAATAAATGTGGCTGAAACAGTTAACCTGACGATAACTGAAGGGCTCAAGGTATGTAATAAATTATTTATTTTATCTCATGGAGGGGAAATAATATTATAAAGCATGCTTTTGGAACACAGCATTGACCAATCCATAATCATATGACACAAAATCAGTTGTTATCTACATTTATAACAACCAGCCAAGACAGTAATGCCGATGAAGTTATGGCTGCTGAGCTAGCTCAAATATAACATGCTACACATCATGAGCATTCCTACAGATAACTCAAAATATGGAATATTTTTTTCTTATTTACATAAAATTAGCAGTCAGAATTACATTTGATTCTGTAAGCTAATTAGCTGTAGTATTCTTCGTGACGTGAAGAGGGCTTATCCAGAGATAAGCCCTTGTTAACCCTCTCTCAGGTCAGCTGGCCAATTCCTTTTTAGTCTTTGTCCATTGTGCGGTTCCAGTAACGGTTGCATTAGTACGTTCTCATGTCCTTCTGTTTTGTTGGGGTATCTTGTGCTTTTCCCTATTATGACTTCCTTCACTAGCGGCACTTTCCGGTCTCCATGGAGTGTTATATTGGAAACATACCTTGGGGAGTTAGTAATCATACGTAGTATCTTTGACTGACATCTCTGGATTATGGAAATACTGGTTTTGCTATCGCATCCCTATATTTCCACTCCATATACCCAAATTGGTTTTATTATTGTTTGGAAAGTAAAATTTTGTTGTCTAATGAGAGCTTGGAATTTCATCCAATTAACCAGTGCATATCCTTTATTTTTAAATCAATCTGTTTGCGTTTTTTAGTAATGTGTTCCTTCCAGGTTAGATGGTTGTCTAGATGAATACCTAAGTATTTTGTGCTGGGTGATTCAGGTATTTGTATGTTATTAAAGAAAACTGCAGGACATTGTTGCCTTCTTAGACTGAAGTTTACTTGCACTGACTTGGTGTCATTGATTTTTATTTTCCATGTATTTGTCCACCCTTGTATTTGATTTAGATGATTTTGCAATGTGGAGGTAGCTATTCCTGGATCTGTGTTGGCTGAGAGGATCACGGTATCATCTGCATGTTGGCATTGACTGATAGGTCTGCTGTACACAGTAAATAAGTAGTGGGCCTAAGACACTGCCTTGTGGTACACCTGATTTTATTGCAAAATTGTTAGATGTACTATCATTGAATCTCGTTCTGAACTCTCTTCCATTTATATATGATTTTAGTATGTGGAAATAAGTGATGGGCAGATATTTTTTTATTCTTTTTAAGAGAAGTCTTTCGAGGAGCTTAGGTATGATGGGTAATAAACTTATAGGATGATAGGATGACACACTATTAGGATTTTTGCCTGGTTCGGGGATCAGGATTATTTCTGCTGTTTTTAGCTGATTTGGCCAGTATTTATGTTTGAGAATAGCATTAAATATATATGTGAGAAGTACTAACTTTTTCTTGACATTTCTTTTAACATTATGGGAGTCACTTCGTCAATGCCAGGTGCTTTTCTTGAATTTGGGAATGCTATTTCGTTTTGCACTTCTTTAACTGTAAAAATTTTTATTTCTGGTGTAATGCTGATATTTTCAGATATTTGTCTTTCTATTTCTTTATCAGTATGGTCATCATATGGTGTAAAAACTGTAGCAAGATATTCAGTGAACATAGCTGCTTTTTCTTCATCACTTCTTGCCCACAATGTTTGTGGCACCATTTCATTTCTTATAGGATGTATCTGTGTCTTTGTTTTTGTTTTTTTTAATGTTTGATTGGTTTCCAGATGGTATTGTCATATCTATCGAGGCTGGTTATATAGTTAGAGAAGGATCTGTCTCTTGCCTCTTTAATTTTACACTTCAGCATATTACTTATATGGTTATATGTTGTTTTATCTGTTGGTGCTTGACTTCTATGCCACCTGGCTGTTGCTCTTCTTTTCTCAGCTATGAGTTTTTTAATTTCAATTGGAACATTCCTTGTGTTATTTTGGAAGGTGATCTTAGGTGTAGCATCTTGGGTTGCTGTTTTGTAGTGTTGATTAGAGAGGTTAGTGCGCTGTTGATTTCCATTGGGCTTTGGAATTAAATTAAATTTATTTATACATAATGATGTAATATCTAAAAAAATATCTTGTGGCCATGCAAAATCCAAAGTGATTGTAAGTGAAGTTTTGGACCAGCTTCTGTAAAAGAAATCATAAATATGCTTGAAGGATATGCTAACTCTTCCTTTTTATTCTGTTGTGAGTGATACTTCAAACCATGATCATACCAATCTGTTCCCAATTGCATTAAAGTATTGGACACCAAAACATGATGTAGAAAACAAAGTTCTAGATATTTATGATGACCCAGAAGAAATATTAGCTGGGATATGTCAACAAATTAAAAAATGACTCCAGGAAAACTAATTAAACATTAATACTATTTCCTCTTACTCTGGAGACAATGTTTGTGTTAAGTTTGCAGAACACAGTTCAGTTTTCCAAAAGTTAAAACTACTAAACCCATATATTTGATGTGCTAGTTAGTCTTGCACATCTTTTTCACAATTATACCAAACAAGCTGGTGATGAAGTGCAGGCTGATATTGAGAGTCTTGTTGTAAAGATGTTAAATCACTTCTTCTTCTGCAAAATGCACTGAAGAGCTAAAAGCAATATTTGACTTTCTTGGTGAAGACTATGAGAATTTATTGCATCATGTTGGAACTAGATGGCTAACTTTATACACCACAGTCAAAAGGCTTACTAAATACTGACCTACTACAAATATACAAATATACAGCTGGCCTACTGTTTGATCATATTTCCTATCATTAGGAAGGGAAGATTGGTAATTTTTTGGTGGTGTGTGAGAGTGATGAGGCAGCTGAAGATAAAATGTGTGTATTACCAGAATGTTATACTTTTCTCAAATACTTTTACCTGCCCAATGCACAGTAGAAGAACTAGAATTGGACAATATTACAGCACCAGAGCTGTATTCCCTGACGATAAAGTTAAGAAACAAACTGAGCCAAGAAGAAGTATGTGTTTATCAAGGAAGAAATGGAGATGTCATTAAAACTTGATGAAAAAATTTATGTTTCTGTTAAGAAAGACTTCTCATTTTTTTTACCAGCCTCTCAAATATTTTGAAAAGTTGTTTGATTACTTCAACAACAATTAAATGTATAAAATTTAGTTTTTATTGCTGAAAGAGGAACAAACATACTCTGACTTCAAAGAAGCTTTTGTAGCTTTGAAGTTGCAGACATCTATCAACTTTGGTAAATTATACGAAGAATTTTATATAATATATTGTACACTTGCATTGTTTCTGAAACATAATCCAAGCAACCTCATTCTGTTAGTGACAAATGGTGTCAAATAATTGTGGTGGCAGACAGTAGACTTCCAAATGCTGCACAGTTGCCCTCATTTATTGTCTCTTCCTGGGTGCAATGCTCATGGGGTGTGAGTTTTATCAACTATGAACTGCTACTGGAGAAATGAACACATTACAAGTGGCGTAAACTTAATAAAAAGTGAAATTGTGGTAAAGATGAATTATAAATGCACTTGTAAGGACTTCTGCATGTTCTTAAGGAGAAGGATATCCTGTAACAAGGGAAGGCAAATGAAAGCATGTTTTTAAGTTCGAACAGTGAACCAAAACTGTTAAACTGAAAATTTTTATTTCTGATTATTCTTAAAATGTGACAATACATTTCATTTCTATGTAAATACCAGTTTTAATTGTTTGTATTTTGGCAGTTAAATAATATATATTTTGTTTTATAAATAACTTCTTAATTCATGCATTTTAAAGTTCTACATGAAAAAAAAAAAGTAATTTTAGTTTTCAATAACATTTTTCACATGTAAACTAAAGTTAAAACTACTAAAACGGCAAAAATTTGTACTGTATGTTATTGCTATAGCCCCTCTTGCCTTCTGTATGCTGGCATACAGTGGACATTGTCAGAATGTCCCAC